GGGGCCTCTTTCGGGGGCCTCTTTGAGGCCTCTTTGGGGGCTCTTGGAGCATCTACGGGGCCTCCGGGGGGCCTCTTGGTCTCTGTTGGGGGCCTCTTGGGGCCTCCTAGAAACCTTTTGGGGCGGAAGGCTCGAATAGTCGCGGTTCGTTTTCCACCTCTTGAGCCCCTCTTGGGGCAGTCTTGGGTCCCTCTTGGGCGATCTTGGGCGCCTCATGGGACGTCTTGGGGCGCTCTTGGGCCGTCTTGGGGCTCTCTTGCGCCGTCGTGGCGCCCTCTTTGGGTGCCTCTTGGGCCGCGTTGAACTGATTGCTGGGGCCTCGTGGGCTGTCTTGGACAGTCGGAAGCACGAAACAGTGAGAACACAAAAAACCTGCAAAAACATAAAAAAAAACACTTTGTTCGCCTCGTGAGTGCCTCGTGGGATTCCTTTTGAGAGCAGCTTGGCCGTCTTGAAGCCCTCTTGGGGTGTCTTCAAGCCATGTTGGACCAATTTTGAAACGCTCTTGTGCGGTCTTGGGCTCTCGTGGAGCGCTCTTGGGCCATCTTGGCGCCCTCTTGCCCCCTTTGACGTTTTTTGGCGCCCCCCGCCGGGCCCGAAAAAGGCCAGAAGATAAATCAGTGCACTTTGGGGGGCCCGGGACCCCATTTATATATGTGTATATATACACACTGTATATGTGTATATATATACATATATATATGTATATATATATTATAGATATATGTATATACTTATCCATGCGCACGCTTCGCACGCGCTTACGTTCTAGCAGGCTCCGGGCCTTAACGACTTCGCAGTTCCACTAACGCAATGCGAAGACACACGCGGTTGGAATCAGAAGGAGGCCCCCCGCCTCATGTTACCTTTGCCATCAGCAGCTTCTACGGCATACGAGCCAAACCATTAGACATGCAAAACATGCACGTGAATGCGCACCTGGGAGTTTGTCAGGATCCCAGCGGTCTCTTCCAAGACTTGGTGAGTCCTGGAAGCCTCGGGGGCCTCTTCGGTTTTGTAGGGAGTGTTTCGGAAACGTCTTGAGGGTTGCTGGGGACTTTGGGGGGGGGGTCTGGGAGCTCAGAGTTTCTGGTTGTCCTGGCGGGGCTCCTGTCTGGACATTCTCTTGGAGCCATGTTGGAGGCCGGATGAATCATGTTCCTGGAAGGCTTTCTGGGAGCAAGGACTTGTGGTGTGCCGTTTGGAACGTTTCGTCGTCGTCGTCGCCTCTTGCTGAGCCTGGTTGGAGGCCTGATGAAGCATTTTCCCGAAGGTCTTCTTAGAATGTGCTTGTTGGGTGTGTTTTGGGGTGGTGCTTGAGGCGTTCCGTCGTCGGCGTCGCCTCTGGGGGAGCCATGTTGGAGGCCTGATGAAGCATGTTCCCGGAAGGCCGTATGGGAACATGATTTTTGGGAGTTACCTGGGGGGCTGCTTGGGGTGCTCCGTCGACCGTCGTCGTCGTCGCCCGCGTTGAATGGGGACCTGATGAATCATGTTCTCGGGAGGCCTGCTTGGGACGCTCTCGGGAGCTTACCGAGGTCTCCCAGACGGCCCAGGAAGGCCCATGAAATCCCAGACAACTCCCAGGCAGTGAAACAGGCCAGTCTGGGATTCGTCTGGGATGATCGATTATGAAGCCAAAATTGAAAATCCCATGGCCTCATCTTGAGCATCCCTTCGGAGCCTTTTGATGGATGCGTCTAAGTAAGCTGCATCCTGTAACACTGCATCCCGCTGCACTCCTTTCTCAATGTTTTGCCTGGGTTAGGGGGTTGGGACACGCAAGAGCGCCGCGAGGCGCCGAGAAGAGGCAGAAGAGGCGGAGAGCACCCCAGCAGTGGTACCCAAGAGGGCCCTTTGGGCGCCACTGTCAGAAGGCGCTCTTGAGGCGCTCTTGAGGCGCTCTTGGGCGTCTCTCGGAAGCCTTTCGGAATCTTCCGAGGAGCCCAAGAGGAGCACAAGAGCAGCTAGTTGGCCGTCTTGGAAACATCTTCGGGGCGTCTTGGAGCCCTCTGAAGGACCCCATCCGTGTCCCAAATAAGCCCAAGAGCAGCCCGGGAGGGTCCCAACAACACTCCAAGAGGACCCGAAGATGGCACCCCGAAAGTGACACCCACGAGCCCCTCTTGGGTGCCAGTCGGGTGGCCTTTTGGGGAGCCTCCTGGGGTCCTCTTGGGCCCCCTCTGGTCTACTCTCGAGGCGCCGTTGGGCTTCTCTCAGAGCCCTGGTGGGGCCGATCTGGGAAACCAGACAGAGCAAGGTGACCGAGAAACCCTCTCAGCCGTCCGACGGGACGCTAACATCAACCGCGCGCAAGTAATCTCATAAATGGATATCGTTTAACAGACTCCTATCCCCACTGGCGTGGCCCTCGTCCCACTGAGCGATTTACCCCCCCACACGGTGGGATGCATGCCGTCTCCCTCGGGTTTCAGGGGGTAGATCCTTACCCCGGCGGCGGGGGAAGGGCAGGTTGGCAGGAGGCTGAGTGGGGGTTGGGGTCGGTTAACCGATACTGAATAACCTCCGCCGCTTCCCTATCCTCCCCCACCACACCCGACGTCGCGATTTTTTGTTCCGAACGGCGGCCCTGGATGTGTGAACCTCTTCCCAGGGATCAGCTCTATCGGGCCTTATTATGCTGAGCTGTTTGTTCGCTTCAGAAGACCAATGAGGGATTGTGGAGCCTGAGAACGGCCGAAACCGTTCCGTCGTCGTCGTCGCCCGTGGGGAGGGCCTCATGAATCCAAGTCCCAGAAGCCCTTTTCGGAACCTGAATGGTGGGAATGTCTTGGAGGCTGCTTGCGGCGTTCCGTCGTCGTCGTCGCCCATGTTCAGGGCCTGATGAGTCATGCTCCAGGCAAGCCTTCTGGGGGCATGAGTTTTGGGAGTGTCTTGGGGGCCTGCTTGGGGCGTTCCGACGTTGTCGTCGCCTCTTGGGGAGGCCTTTTGACGGCGCAAGGAATGATGTCCCCGGAAGGCTTGTTGGCAAAATGAATGTTGGAAGTGTCTTGGAAAGCTGCGTGGAACATTCCGTCTTCATCATAGCCACTTGGGAGTCATGTTGGGGGCCAAATGAATCATGTTCCTGACAGGCCTTCTGGGAGCAGTATTTTTGAGCGTGCTCCTATCTTGAAGGGCTGCTGATGGCGCTGCGTCACTGGCGTCGGCCATGCCTGGGGCCTCATGAATCATGTTCCCACAAAGACTTCTGGGAGCAAGATATTTGGGAATGTCTTTGGGGGCTGCTTGGGCCGGTCCGTCGTCGTCGTCGTCGCCTCTTGAGGAACCATGTTGGGAGCCCGATGAATCATTTTCCCGCAAGGACTGCTGGGAACATGAATTGTGGGAGTGTCGTGGGAGGGCCTGCTTGGGGCGTTCCGTCGTCCTCGTCGCCCATGTTGGGGCGTTCCGTCGTCGTCGTCGGCCACCGATTCTCGCGTACCTTAAAAAATCTGGGCGGGAAACCTGCGAAAGACCGAAAGAGGACGAGGAGGAGCAGGCAACGAGGGGAAGAAGAAGAGCAGGAAGATGGTGCAGTCAGGTGATTTTGCAAATATCGTCATGCGATGGACACCCTCCCTCCGGGGCCTCCCCCTGGCCGCTCAAATTATCTAGGGGCCTTCGGCCCATCCTGCCTCTTGGAAGCAGATTCGAAGCCTCTCGGGGCCGGTTTTGTCGGCCTCTTGGGGTCTTTGGGGGGGCCCTTTGGGGCCTCTTGGGGGCCTCTTGGGGCCTCCTGGGAGCCTTTTGGGGTTGGAATACCGGAATTGGAACTTTTTTTCAGTTCGCGGTCCCCCTCTTGGGCCCCTCTTGGGGCCGCCTTGGGTCTTCACGCTGGGCACGTCTGGGGGGGATCTTGGCGCGTCTCGGAGCCGCCGGGGCCTCCTCCCGAACGGCTCCTGCGAGCCGTGGACCCCATGCGCCGTCGAGGCCACGGCCCCGGAGGCCCCCGCCCATGCGCCCGTCGAGGCCTGGCGCCGGGGCCTCCTGGGGCACCCTTCAAGCAGGAGGGTCGAATTTTGGAGTCGTGGCGCCCCTCTTGGGCGCATCTTGGGGCCGACTTGGGGCTCTCTTGGGCTGTCTTGGGCGCCTCTGGGGCCGTCTTGGGGCCCTCTTGGGCCGTCTTGGGGCGCTCTTGGGGGCCTATTGAGCCGTCTTGGAACGTCGGGCAGCCGAAAAGGCTGGAAGGCCAAAATCGTTCCAAAATCGCCTTAAACTTTACGATTTCGGCCTCTTGAAGCACTCTGGAGAGGCGTCTTGAAGCGTCGTGGAGTGCCTTGGGGGGCCTCTCGGGCCGTCTTGGGCCTGTCTTGGGCGTCCTGGAGCGGTCTTTCGGCGACTCGGGGCCCGCTTGGGCCGTCATGGGAGCCTCTGGAGGCCCTCCTGGACTATTTTGGACCTCCCTGGCCCCCATGGGGGGTCGGGGCACCTGTTTGTGGGCCCCTGGCCTGCCCCCCCAGGGATACATATATATATATATATATATATATATATATATATATATACATATATATATATATACATACATACCTACCTACCTACCTACCTACCTACCTACCTACCTACCTACCTACATACATACATACATACATACATACATGCATACATACATACATACATACATACATACAGGCAGGCAGGCAGACAGGCAGGCAGACAGACATACATACATGTGTGTATGCATGTATATATATATACATATATACATGCATACATATATATGTGTATATACATATACACCTACATACATTCATACATATACATATATAGAGATATATAGAGAGAGGGAGAGAAAAAAACGGAAAGAGTCTGCACGCTGTAGAACAAGAGACATGGCCGTGGCAAGGGAGGCAAAGAGATGATGAGAGTGATCGTGCAGAAGATACTGAGAGAGACACACAGAGAGAGAGAGAATGACGACGACGACGACGACGACGACGACGACGGCGATAACGGCGGCGAAGTCGACGTAAGAAACACGCGACCGCGGAACTCTCCTCGCCGCTCAGGACCTTGTAGGCGTCCGTGAGGGACTCTATCTCCTCCTCTCGCCTGCGGGGCGGCATCTTCGGATCGGCGGGCCTGCACCAAAGCGAAAACAAGTGGAGGCGAGAGGCTCATTTACCCGATGCCAACCGCCCGCCCTGTCGGCCGCGGCGGGGGCAATAAGCAGGTGGGCCACCCGAGCAAACACAAGTGGCTCTAAACAAGCCCTTCGGAACATAATCTTGCACAGCGGTCGACAGGCGAAACAGAAACACTTGTTCGGCCGGACGAAGAAATCTCGACGGGCGAGCTGGGAGTTGTTTCCTGGCGATCCGAGACATTCCGGATTCCGAACGAAGAAATTATTCGGGCAAGCGGGTGAACTGTCCTCGGTCGAACGAGGAAGACTACTTCGGGAGAGCGGAAATGCTACCCCGTCGAGCGAGGAAGCCTCCAGACACCACGGAGAACTGAGCACAATCGAAAGGGCCCTCATCTCACCAATGCCGCCGAGTCCCGAAGGCCCGTGGGACACAACGAGCCCTGTGAACGCAATCGTTTCCCTGGGCTCAATAGACCCCCTCACCAGCCTTCGACCGTCCCTCCGCCGATACACGACGACAACAACATAATGCACAACGAACACAAAAATAACACGCGCATGCCATAATGTCGATAACGCCCACTTTTCAAAAGACCGGCCATCGAACTGTCAAGTTCAAGGTAAGGGTCGTCGATCGGGCGAACGCTGCGCCAAAAAACCACCCATCACATGATTGCAGGAACCGTCGAACGAAGAAACTTACGGATGCTGGAATAGGAAAGCCCTGCTGGAAGCCTCCAACCACCACGTAGCAGAAACCGAACGCCCGCGAGAAACAACGAGCCCTGTAAGCGCGATCGTTTTTCTAGACCTAACCAAGCCTGCGAACCTCCCTCTTCCGGTAGAAAGTGATTACGTGATGATGCAAAATATTCACGTGAAGAACGCGTGCCTGCCCGAAGTTTGAAAACTCGTTATGTTCCAAAGAGCTGTCGGCCAACCCGGGATTTCAATTTAGGGCAGTGACCGTTGATCGGTCGAGCGAGACTTCAAAGAACAACCCGTTGCATGCATACCAACCGCCGACCGAACAAAACTCACGGACGCTGAAATAGGAAACTCGCGCTGGAAGCCTTCAGACACAACGGAGCGAAACCCGAATGCCCACCCCCCAAAAAAAGAGCCCTGTAAACGCAATCATTCTCTAGACTCCCTACCGCTGACTCCCGTCGTCGGAGGTGGCCACGTTTTGTATTCCGCGGGCCCCCAACACCCTTTCGCCACATTCCGCCGCGGACAAAAAAGGCAACTCTTTCGGTCCTCGAAGGCGAGGCCAATCCTCGGGCTCCCCATTTGCTAAGAACGCTTGCCCTAGAAATGGAAACTGCGCACTTCCTGAACATCACTGCAACGCAAACCGTTTCCCAAACTAGGGCAACTCACCAACCGGTCGCTCCCAGTTGACTGGGGGGCCCAGCGTTCCCCCTGGAAACACTGAAAGATGGATCCCAGCCGAGTAGGCTACTGAATTGGAAGCCGAACAATCTAACCATCACTACTTCTGCTCGGCCATCTGGAACGGCAGCAGCAAGGGACGCATAGCAGTAGCACTATCGGGTAGAAATTCACAGGCGCCAGGCGCGCCTGTGAGGATTCGCAAACGTAACCCCGAAACAAACGATGGCCCAAAACTCGGCAAGGACCAATGATTAGGAGCCAAACTCCATACACCGTCGCTTTTTGTTCCAGCCCCGCATTGACATTCGCATAGGAACACGGATCCTGGTGTATACGGGATCCTGGTGTATGCAGTTGCGTTGTTTCCCCGGGAAAACGGGGAAACAGGTATACAGCACACCACCCCGACGTCATCCCCGACCCTCGAAAAGTCCCGGGATCGAAACACGACCCACCCACTGGTCATGCACACGTTCCGGTTTCCGACATGCTTACGGCGGGGCGAACGTGCGTGAAGGGGCCCTGGGACACACAAATAAATACGCACAAAAAAAAAGATTCCCCATATTTTCCTATATTTTCTGGGTGTCTGTCTTCCCCCCCACTTCCCATATTTTCGCATATCTTCTGGGGATCGACGACTAATTGTGTCTGTGTGTTTTTTCCCCTCCTGAGTGCAAGCGGATGCACCGTGCGAGCTGGCCGCCCGCCCGCACCTACACAACACTGAGCACCCCCCGGGGGGGGGGGGGGGCAACCCGTGAGGGTGCATCGGACGGGTCCCTGCAGCCGGACCCGGTTGGGCAGGGCACGCGACAGGACACGAGACCCTTCCGAGGGCCACATTGCCACAGGAATGTGAGAGGCATGGGTCGCGAGACACAGGGCACAGGAGTCCCCTTGATTTGGCAGGGTCGACCTACTCCAGATTTCGTAATAAAGGGAAGGTCTCATTTCGGGGGGGGGTCTCTTCCAGGCTATCTCGGAGGGCCTGGGGGGTCTGGAGACGATGTTTTGGAGGGTTCTCCCACGGGGGAGGTCTGAAATGGCTTGACTTAGAGGGTGCAGACCCCCTCCCTCCCTTTTATCACGAAATCTGGAGTACTAATCCGGGCCGACTGTAGCATGTGTGCGAATCGCGAAACATGCCTCAAGCGGGAGACCACCACCCCGCCCATTGGGCCCGCAGATCATGTTCGCAATCCGAGCGGGTCACTGGCCCACTGCAGCAAGCATATTCACTTGTGCACCCCAGAGACGCACGTCGCAAGAGCGTCTCGAGCGGGGGCCTCGTCCGCAAGCGAGTTGCAAGGAAGTCCCAGGCGCGAGCCTCACCGCCCACCCCCCCCCTTTATGTGGCGGCCAACACTTCACGCTGGTCATCCGAGCGGGTCATGGGGATATTTCGCCAGGCATAGCACTTACTTGTAGAAGAAGAACAACTGGCCTCCGGCGCCGCCCCTGGCGCGCTCCGCGCGCCAGGGAGAGGGGCCCAGCGCGGATCCAAGAAATCCGCGCGGAGCGCAAAAAGTTTGTGTTTATGGCCGTTTTTCTTATTCGAACTTGAGAACCTCGTGAGGATGCCTCGAGCGGAGGCCCCGTCTGTGAGCGAACTGCGAAGATGTCTCAGACGGGACCCCCCCCCTCCCCCCTGATGGCGTCCGCACTCCAGGTTAGCAGCATAAGCGGGTCATTGGCCTACGTACTGCAACAGGCAAATCACTTGTGCACCCCAAGGGCGCAAATCGCGAGGACATCTCGAGCGGGGGCCTCGTTGGTAAGTGCATGGCAAGGGCAGCCTCGAGCGGGCGCCCCCATTCCCTATGGGGCCTGCGGGTCCAACAGGGGTCACGGGTCGCAGAGCTCTGACGGGCCCCGCAGGTCTCAAAGGCTCCACGCGGCGCATCCTGGTATCCTCGCATCTTGGCAACATCAACATCGGTAGTAGCCAGAGAGGGTGAGCCTGATTCACATTCGGGAGATTATCATGCAGGGTCCTGACGTCGGAATAGCTTGCAAGTGGTATACTATTTTGCGGACCTGGTTGCCTCTGCGCGAGCTGTCATCGCGTGCGATTGGGCAACGCCATGCACAACTTTACACATCCGCCCTCAACGAAAATTGGGTGCCACTGGGCCTCGCTGATGAAAATTACTCTGTGCGCGGTGGCCTTACGGAAGCCATCGAAACCAACAAGAAACCTGCCACGAGGCAGGGTCCGAAAACCTGACCGGAAAGCCGGGCGGACGGCTGAAACTTTGAAACTTAAGCGCTGGCCGACACGTTGCAAACCCCCACCTCACGGGGACAAAATCGCAATGCCAGCCCTGGTTAGCCGTCCACCACGCCCGCCTGCGCCACCCCTGGGCGGCTCAACCCAGCAGGGCATCACCCTTGGTCGACTTGGCATATGTGACCTGGTAGATTACGAGGCCGACACCACACTTGGATATGATGTCCGAGACGCAGTAGCCAATCTGGATGGCCACCACAGCATTGGACGCAGTGATTCCAAGCATCGGGAAGAGGTACACGACCGGGTAGGTGCACCAACTGATCACCGTCATCACCTGCGCAAGCTGGATCTTACCTTTGATCGTAGGGTCGATTTCGCTGTCAGTGGCCGCCTTCAACCCAACCAGCAACTCGTATACGATGTACAGGAAGAAGCACATGGACAAGCCCCAGCATTCCCAGCGCGAGGTCAGGTCGCCGCTCACGGTCAGCTCGCCATAGTACCCGGTGACGATCATCAGGGCGGCGCCGACGCCCAACGTCTTGGACTTGACGCTGTAGGTCTTCTCGTCCAGGTTCATGACCAACAGGATTTCGATCAGCAGCAGCGGCACCGTCAGCAGCCAGTCCATGTACCGGTAGGCATCATTGAAGGGCGTGCCCGTCAGCTCGGGGTCGGCCTTGCCCACCTGGTACGTGTAGGCCTCCACCCACGAGTTGAAGATGCGGATGTAATGGTAGGCTGCGATGAAGGTAACCAGGCCAGAGATGATGACGGCGCTCTTGAATTGGTCGCGTACCGCGGTGGAGCGGAACCACAAGTACATTGTGGTCGCCATCATGCTCGCGAGGGCGAACGACAGCGTGTTGTACACCGCCTGGTACTGCATATCGCTCATCGGGTACATCACCATAGCTCCTGAGGCGTTCGACTCACGGACACGGAGATTGAGCAACCAAAACTTGAGCCAAAATGGCTACGGAAAGCCATCCTGTAGTTTTTTTTTTTGATTCTGGCTTTAGAGAGAACGCCGCGGGTCTACTTCCTCTCCTCCTCCAACTCCTCCCCCTCCTCCCTCCTTCCATCCCTGCATGTGCCCTCCGCATGTCAGCCAGTTCAACCAGCTCGGCACATCCCTCACGCGCTTCGTGACCCAATAGGGAGCTCCACCGAAGGCTCCAATGGCTACGTTCGCACGTGGGCGTCACGTCCGTTACGCCCGAGCGGGTCGTTAGCCGATTGTAGCAGGCATAGCACTGAGCACCCCAAAGGCGCACACCGGGAAGATGATTCGAAAGGGAGCCGTGCATGTGTGCGAATGGCGAAACAGCCTCAAGCGGGAGACCCTCCCCAAAAACCATGGGGCCCGCAGCTCATGTTAGCAGTCCGAGCGGGTCATTGGCCTACTGTGGCAAGCATATCACTTGTGCACCCCAAGGCGCAAAACGCGAAGATGTCTCGAGAGGGGGGCCTCGTCCGTGAGTCCATGGCGAGGAAGTCTCAGGCTCGAGCCCACCCCCCACCCCCTCTGGGGCCCGCACTTCAGGTTGGCAATCCGAGCGGGCCATGAGGACAAAGCGCTTGAGAATCCCAAGGGGCGCAAATCGTGAGGATGTCTCGAGCGGTGGCCTCGTCTGTGAGCGAGTTGCGAAGATGTCTCAGACGGCCCCCCCCCCATGGCGCCCGCACTCCAGGTTAGCAGCATAAGCGGGTCAGTGGCCTACTGCAACAGGCATATCACTTGTGCACCCCAAGGGCGCAAATCGCAAGGATGTCTCGAGCGGGGGCCTCGTTTGTAAGTGCATGGCGAGGCAACCTCGAACGGGTGCCCCCTTCCCTATAGGGCCTGCGGGGCCAACAAGGGTCACGGGTCGCACAATCCTTACGGGCCCCGCAAGTCTCAAAAGCTCCACGCGGCGCAACCTGGTATCCTCGCATCGTGGCAACATCAACATCGGTAGTAGTCCGTGAGGGTGAGTGTAATTCACATTCGGGAAATGATCATGCCGGGTCCTGACGTCGGAACAGCTTGTAAGTGGGATACTATTTTCCGGACCTGGTTGCCTCTGCGCGAGCTGTCATCGCGTGCGATTGGGCAACGCCATGCACAACTTTACACATCCGCCCTCAACGAAAATTGGATGCCACTGGGCCTCGCTGATGAAAATTACACGGTGCGTGGTGGCCTTACGGAAACCGTCGAAACCAGCAAGAAACCTGCCACGAGGCATGGTCCGAAAACCTGACCGGAAAGCCGGGCGGACGGCTGAAACTTTGTAACTTGCACGTGGGCCAACACGTTGCAAACCCCCACCTCGCGGGGACAAAATCGCAGTCGTAGCCCTGGTTAGCCGTCCACCACGCCCGCCCGCGCCACCCCTGGGCGGCTCAACCCAGCAGGGCACCACCCTTAGTCGACTTGGCATATGTGACCTGGTAGATTACGAGGCCAACACCACACTTGGATATGATGTCCGAGACGCAGTAACCAATCTGGATGGCCACCACAGCATTGGACGCCGTGATTCCAAGCATCGGGAAGAGGTACACGACCGGGTAGGTGCACCAACTGATCACTGTCATCACCTGCGCAAGCTGGATCTTACCTTTGATCGTAGGGTCGATTTCGCTGTCAGTTGCCGCCTTCAACCCAACCAGCAACTCGTATACGATGTACAGGAAGAAGCACATGGACAAGCCCCAGCATTCCCAGCGCGAGGTCAGGTCGCCGCTCACCGTCAGCTCGCCATAGTACCCAGTGACGATCATCAGGGCGGCGCCGACGCCCAACGTCTTGGACTTGACGCTGTAGGTCTTCTCGTCCAGGTTCATGACCAACAGGATTTCGATCAGCAGCAGCGGCACCGTCAGCAGCCAGTCCATGTACCGGTAGGCATCATTGAAGGGCGTGCCCGTCAGCTCGGGGTCGGCCTTGCCCACCTGGTACGTGTAGGCCTCCACCCACGAGTTGAAGATGCGGATGTAATGGTAGGCTGCTATGAAGGTTACCAGGCCAGAGATGATGACGGCGCTCTTGAATTGGTCGCGTACCGCGGTGGAGCGGAACCACAAGTACATTGTGGTCGCCATCATGCTCGCGAGGGCGAACGACAGCGTGTTGTACACCGCCTGGTACTGCATATCGCTCATCGGGTACATCACCATAGCTCCTGAGGCGTTCGACTCACGGACACGGAGATTGAGCAACCAAAACTTGAGCCAAAATGGCTACGGAAAGCCATCCTGTGGTTTTTTTTGATTCTGGCTTTAGAGAGAACGCCGCGGGTCTACTTCCTCTCCTCCTCCAACTCCTCCCCCTCCTCCCTCCTTCCATCCCTGCATGTGCCCTCCGCATGTCAGCCAGTTCAACCAGCTCGGCACATCCCTCACGCGCTTCGTGACCCAATAGGGAGCTCCACCGAAGGCTCCAATGGCTACGTTCGCACGTGGGCGTCACGTCCGTTACGCCCGAGCGGGTCGTTAGCCGATTGTAGCAGGCATAGCACTGAGCACCCCAAAGGCGCACACCGGGAAGATGATTCGAAAGGGAGCCGTGCATGTGTGCGAATGGCGAAACAGCCTCAAGCGGGAGACCCTCCCCAAAAACCATGGGGCCCGCAGCTCATGTTAGCAGTCCGAGCGGGTCATTGGCCTACTGTGGCAAGCATATCACTTGTGCACCCCAAGGCGCAAAACGCGAAGATGTCTCGAGAGGGGGGCCTCGTCCGTGAGTCCATGGCGAGGAAGTCTCAGGCTCGAGCCCACCCCCCACCCCCTCTGGGGCCCGCACTTCAGGTTGGCAATCCGAGCGGGCCATGAGGACAAAGCGCTTGAGAATCCCAAGGGGCGCAAATCGTGAGGATGTCTCGAGCGGTGGCCTCGTCTGTGAGCGAGTTGCGAAGATGTCTCAGACGGCCCCCCCCCCATGGCGCCCGCACTCCAGGTTAGCAGCATAAGCGGGTCAGTGGCCTACTGCAACAGGCATATCACTTGTGCACCCCAAGGGCGCAAATCGCAAGGATGTCTCGAGCGGGGGCCTCGTTTGTAAGTGCATGGCGAGGCAACCTCGAACGGGTGCCCCCTTCCCTATAGGGCCTGCGGGGCCAACAAGGGTCACGGGTCGCACAATCCTTACGGGCCCCGCAAGTCTCAAAAGCTCCACGCGGCGCAACCTGGTATCCTCGCATCGTGGCAACATCAACATCGGTAGTAGTCCGTGAGGGTGAGTGTAATTCACATTCGGGAAATGATCATGCCGGGTCCTGACGTCGGAACAGCTTGTAAGTGGGATACTATTTTCCGGACCTGGTTGCCTCTGCGCGAGCTGTCATCGCGTGCGATTGGGCAACGCCATGCACAACTTTACACATCCACCATCAACGAAAATTGGATGCCACTGGGCCTCGCTGATGAAAATTACACGGTGCGTGGTGGCCTTACGGAAACCGTCGAAACCAGCAAGAAACCTGCCACGAGGCATGGTCCGAAAACCTGAGCGGAAAGCCGGGCGGACGGCTGAAACTTTGTAACTTGCACGTGGGCCAACACGTTGCAAACCCCCACCTCGCGGGGACAAAATCGCAGTCGTAGCCCTGGTTAGCCGTCCACCACGCCCGCCCGCGCCACCCCTAGGCGGCTCAACCCAGCAGGGCACCACCCTTAGTCGACTTGGCATATGTGACCTGGTAGATTACGAGGCCAACACCACACTTGGATATGATGTCCGAGACGCAGTAACCAATCTGGATGGCCACCACAGCATTGGACGCCGTGATTCCAAGCATCGGGAAGAGGTACACGACCGGGTAGGTGCACCAACTGATCACCGTCATCACCTGCGCAAGCTGGATCTTACCTTTGATCGTAGGGTCGATTTCGCTGTCAGTGGCCGCCTTCAACCCAACCAGCAACTCGTAAACGATGTACAGGAAGAAGCACATGGACAAGCCCCAGCATTCCCAGCGCGAGGTCAGGTCGCCGCTCACCGTCAGCTCGCCATAGTACCCGGTGACGATCATCAGGGCGGCGCCGACGCCCAACGTCTTGGACTTGACGCTGTAGGTCTTCTCGTCCAGGTTCATGACCAACAGGATTTCGATCAGCAGCAGCGGCACCGTCAGCAGCCAGTCCATGTACCGGTAGGCATCATTGAAGGGCGTGCCCGTCAGCTCGGGGTCGGCCTTGCCCACCTGGTACGTGTAGGCCTCCACCCACGAGTTGAAGATGCGGATGTAATGGTAGGCTGCTATGAAGGTTACCAGGCCAGAGATGATGACGGCGCTCTTGAATTGGTCGCGTACCGCGGTGGAGCGGAACCACAAGTACATTGTGGTCGCCATCATGCTCGCGAGGGCGAACGACAGCGTGTTGTACACCGCCTGGTACTGCATATCGCTCATCGGGTACATCACCATAGCTCCTGAGGCGTTCGACTCACGGACACGGAGATTGAGCAACCAAAACTTGAGCCAAAATGGCTACGGAAAGCCATCCTGTGGTTGTGGGTTCTGGCTTCGGAGAGACAGCGCCGCGGGTCTCCTCTCTCTCCCCCTCCCCCTCCTCCCCCTCCTCCCTCCTTCCATTCTGCATGTGCCCTCCGCATGTCAACCAGTTGGGCACATCCCTCACGCGCTTCGTGACCCATTAAGGAGCTCCACCGAAGGCTCCCATGGCTACGTTCGCACGTGGACGTCACGTCCACTTCGCCCGAGCGGGTCGTTAGCCGATTGCAGCAGGCATAGCACTGAGCACCGCAAGGGCGCACACCAGGAAGGATGATTCGAAAAGGAGCCGTGCATGTGTGCGACTTGCGAAACAGCCTCAAGCGGGAGACCCCATCAAAAAAACATGGGGCCCGCAGATCATGTTGGCAATCCGAGCGGGTCAATGGCCTACTGTGGCAAGCATATCTTTTGTGCACACCAAAGACGCAAAACGCGAGGATGTCTCGAGCGGGGGCCTCGTCCGTGAGTCCATGGCGAGGAAGTCTCAGGCGCGACCCCCCCCCCCCCACTCCCTATGGGGCCCGCACGTCACGTTGGCAATCCGAGCGGGCCATCGGGATAAAGCGCTTGAGAACCCCAAGGGGGGCAAATCGTGAGGATGTCTCGAGCGGGGGCCTCGTCTGTGAGCGAAGTGCGAAGATGTCTTCAGACGGGACCCCCCCCATGGCGCCCGCACTTCAGGTTGGCACTATGAGCGGGTCATTGGCCTACTGCAACAGGCATATCACTTGTGCACCCCAAGGGCGCAAATCGCAAGGATGTCTCGAGCGGGGGCCTCGTTTGTAAGTGCATGGCGAGGCAACCTCGAACGGGTGCCCCCTTCCCTATAGGGCCTGCGGGGCCAACAAGGGTCACGGGTCGCACAATCCTTACGGGCCCCGCAAGTCTCAAAAGCTCCACGCGGCGCAACCTGGTATCCTCGCATCGTGGCAACATCAACATCGGTAGTAGTCCGTGAGGGTGAGTGTAATTCACATTCGGGAAATGATCATGCCGGGTCCTGACGTCGGAACAGCTTGTAAGTGGGATACTATTTTCCGGACCTGGTTGCCTCTGCGCGAGCTGTCATCGGGTGCGATTGGGCAACGCCATGCACAACTTTACACATCCGCCCTCAACGAAAATTGGATGCCACTGGGCCTCGCTGATGAAAATTACACGGTGCGTGGTGGCCTTACGGAAGCCGTCGAAACCAGCAAGAAACCTGCCACGAGGCATGGTCCGAAAACCTGAGCGGAAAGCCGGGCGGACGGCTGAAACTTTGTAACTTGCACGTGGGCCAACACGTTGCAAACCCCCACCTCGCGGGGACAAAATCGCAGTCGTAGCCCTGGTTAGCCGTCCACCACGCCCGCCCGCGCCACCCCTAGGCGGCTCAACCCAGCAGGGCACCACCCTTAGTCGACTTGGCATATGTGACCTGGTAGATTACGAGGCCAACACCACACTTGGATATGATGTCCGAGACGCAGTAACCAATCTGGATGGCCACCACAGCATTGGACGCCGTGATTCCAAGCATCGGGAAGAGGTACACGACCGGGTAGGTGCACCAACTGATCACCGTCATCACCTGCGCAAGCTGGATCTTACCTTTGATCGTAGGGTCGATTTCGCTGTCAGTGGCCGCCTTCAACCCAACCAGCAACTCGTATACGATGTACAGGAAGAAGCACATGGACAAGCCCCAGCATTTCCAGCGCGAGGTCAGGTCGCCGCTCACCGTCAGCTCGCCATAGTACCCGGTGACGATCATCAGGGCGGCGCCGACGCCCAACGTCTTGGACTTGACGCTGTAGGTCTTCTCGTCCAGGTTCATGACCAACAGGATTTCGATCAGCAGCAGCGGCACCGTCAGCAGCCAGTCCATGTACCGGTAGGCATCATTGAAGGGCGTGCCCGTCAGCTCGGGGTCGGCCTTGCCCACCTGGTACGTGTAGGCCTCCACCCACGAGTTGAAGATGCGGATGTAATGGTAGGCTGCTATGAAGGTAACCAGGCCAGAGATGATGACGGCACTCTTGAATTGGTCGCGTACTGCATATCGCTCATCGGGTACATCACCATAGCTCCTGAGGCGCTCGACCCACGGACACGGAGATTGAGCAACAATAACTTGAGCCAAAGTGGCTACGGAAAGCCATCCTGTGGTTGTGGGTTCTGGCTTCGGAGAGACAGCGCCGCGGGTCTCCTCTCTCTCCCCCTCCCCCTCCTCCCCCTCCTCCCTTCTTCCATCCTGCATGTGCCCTCCGCATGTCAACCAGTTTGGCACATCCTTCACGCGCTTCGTGACCCAATAGGGAGCTCCCCCGAGGGCTCCAATGGCTACGTTCGCACGTGGACGTCACGTCCGCTTCGCCCGAGCGGGTCGTTAGCCGATTGCAGCAGGCATAGCACTGAGCACCGCAAGGGCGCACACCAGGAAGGATGATTCGAAAAGGAGCCGTGCATGTGTGCGACTTGCGAAACAGCCTCAAGCGGGAGACCCCCCCAAAAAAACATGGGGCCCGCAGATCATGTTGGCAGTCCGAGCGGGTCAATGGCCTACTGTGGCAAGCATATCTTTTGTGCACACCAAGGACGCAAAACGCGAGGATGTCTCGAGCGGGGGCCTCGTCCGTGAGTCCATGGCGAGGAAGTCTCAGGCGCGAGCCCCCCCCCCCCACCCCCTATGAGGCCCGCACTTCACGTTGGCAATCCGAGCGGGCCATCGGGATAAAGCGCTTGAGAACCCCAAGGGGGGCAAATCGTGAGGATGTCTCGAGCGGGGGCCTCGTCTGTGAGCGAA